TAGTAGATATGGGATCTGCTTTATTTTGTATCATGGGAATTGATCAATATGCACTGAATCTTATTATGTAGGTGAAGTGAGAGCCTCTTGGAACGTTTCAGCAAAAGGAAGAGTTATTTGTATTGCTGATGATTTTCATCCCAAATGCTTACATTTGGATAGTCCTTGGAGTTGTTTAGCATCTACTCCCCTCGGGGAGTCACTAGAAAAGACACCTGAGTATCCTGTCCAGCACGTCCACAGAGCCTAGCCACTTTTCTCTTGTGTACTACTTCCTTCTAACTGACAATTTTGAAGTGTCAAATGTGTTTGTTTTTTGTTTGTTTGTTTTTTTCCCAAGTAACTCCTGTTTGAAAAGAAAGTATGAATTTCTCATTGTGTTTGGTATTTCTGTCCACTATCACTACCAAATATAGAAACACTTTGTACATTTGAAAAAGATGAGCTGAAGGCAGTATAGCCTGGGTCAGATTATGAGAGCATCTTTTTGATGTTGAGGATGATTTATCCTAATGAGTTAAGGAACCATGTAGCTACATGGAATGGGAAGTTTATATTCTGAAAGATGTACTACATAACTATGCTTTGTAAAAATCAGGATTTTTCCGTGACTTAAAAAAAATCCCAATATTTGCTTTAAATTATATTTATAAATGCAGTTACCAAAACGATCTGAAATCAGTGACTCTGTTCCAAAGGGACAGTGCTGAGTCTTAAAATAGTTGCACACAAAAAAATCCTTACATGTATTATTAACAGCACCTACAATTATGAAAAGGCCAACATTTTTTAAAATTGCTGGTTGGGGTTTTTTGTATTACATTTAACCTGGAAAGTGAAATTAGACAGACCAACTTCATCTCCTGGTACTCAGGTTGCAGACAGTAGGGACCAAAGTTTAAAGTGTGAGTGCAACAGAAGATATCTATGTGCAAATTAGGGATTTGTGTACATACAATCTTGCCTTATACGACATCTTGTGTGTGTCACCTGAGTGCAAAATTGTGCCCATACTTTAAAATGTTACCATATAGGAATTTCTAAGTCAAACAATTTCCATCCTTATTAATTTTAGCTCTAAAAAAATTTAAAATTAAAACCCATGAAAATGTTTTTCTACTACTGTTAGATTTTTGTAAAACTTCCTGCTGACAAATTTTAAAAGTCCAGGCTTATGCTGCTGAAGTAATTTTCAGGGTCTGGTCTCAAACATATTATTTTTGTTTTCTTTTTTAACATGCAGGTTATTAGTGGAGTTTCCAGCAACTGGAGGCCTCATTACATCTTGGCAGTTTCAGCCAGTGAAGCTTATCCACTACATTTCTACTTTTGATTTCTTCCTGGCAGCCTGCGAAATAGCCTTTTGTCTATTCACCCTTTATTATATTGTAGAAGAGATCTTGGAAATTCGCATCCATAAACTGCATTACTTCAGGAGTCTCTGGAATTGTCTCGATATCCTCATCATTGTGGTGAGTAATGCTTCTGGATATGAATCTTTATGATATTCTAGTACTGCTTTCTTTGAGGGGGTTTTCTGGAAGTGTTCTGTGCACTCAGTACTAGTAGCATGGGTATAGGGGACAAATGTGTGCTGAAGGGGATAGTAACCACATTCTAATGACATGATTTCAGTGAGATTACTCACGGCAGAAGGTACTATTCAGTGTGAGAAAGGGCATCACAATTTAGATGATTATGTATATTTTGCTGAATTTCCTTGATTCTCCTATTCTGTGGTATCTTTAGGCGAGGATCTGAAAGGATTCTACGGTGTACAGAGGGATTTTTAGCATCTCTCAGGTTTTTAACCTCTTTCCCTCTGTACAAAGCTATTTTGAAATAATTTTCTTCCAATGATTCTTGAAGCTGCAGGGACAGCCATGAGGAGAGGAAACTATAACAAATTCTGCTTTACCGTGGCTCTCCCATACTTCCGGACGTCAAATACCAGCTGATGCAATGATTTTTGAGTGCCATTCCAGTGACAACATCCTCTGCTTTAAAGCCAACACTTTTGGGCCCTTTGAGAGAGGGTGTGGGTGTCTCTGAGTATATTTGCAAAGTAATACTAACAAATCTTAGTGTTTTTATTCCGATATTTAGCGAGCTAATAACAAGTTTTGAATGACATTGCTTGCTACTTGCCAACCAGACCCAAGTGCCAGAGTGTGTAATTGATTGTCCAGCACAGCCTGCACCAGCATGATTTCCATATAGTACATGTCAAGTTTGGCTTCCTGATAAAGTAGACAGAATGTTCTCTTTGTATGGGGTGAAAAATTTAGTTTTGAACTTCAGGCTCCTGTGTAATCCATGATGTAGACCACTGTGCTGGGGTTTTGCCAACTTTGCTTTATACAAAAACATTTGCCAATAATGTAACGATTGAAATGAGCATGGTACCAGGACCCAGCAGCTTCTTCATTTTTATTCTAGACTGTGTTTCAGTGTTCTCTAGCTCATGCAGGGAGAGGGCTGAATTCTATGTGTAATTATGGTCCATGGGCCAGTACAAATTCAGGACTATATGCTCCCAGAATGCACAGTGCCGTGTTCACTGATGTCATTAAAAGATTTTGATGATGATCAAGGGTGGAAGTTGACCATCATGGTAATAGCTAAACATGTAGTTAGTCATTATTTGTTCTGTGCATTATTGGCACTTCATCACTCAGTGAGAAAATTTGCTCCCTCTTTAGGCCACCGTTATTCCTGCCCTTAATTTCTCTTCCTCTTCTTTCTCTCCCTGGTCTTTGTGAATCTCCTCTGTTCTTTTCCCTTCTCTATATTTCCTTCCCTCCAGCAACTCCCATTTTCCAATCCCAGTGGGGTTCACTCCTGAAACCGTTGTCCAGTCTATCCGCTAAAATGATCAATATAGAGACAGAGTAGTTGATCTGATTCATTGTATCAGACATTAGGCAGACATTAATGCATCGATTTAGGGTACGTCCAGACTACCCACCGGATTGGCGGGTAGCGATCGATCTATCGGGGATCGCTATATCGCGTCTTGTCTAGACGCGATATATCGATCCCTGAACGCTCTCCCGTCGACTCTGGAACTCCACCAGGGCGAGCGGCGGTAGCGGAGTCGACGGGGGAGCCGCGGCTGTCGATCCCGAGCCATGAGGACGGGAGGTAAGTCGAAATAAGATATGTCGACTTCAGCTACGCTATTCCCGTAGCTGAAGTTGCGTATCTTACATCGACACCCCTCAGCCCCCCAGTGTAGACCAGGCTATAAACTATGCTCATGTTTAGAAGGTATTTGGCACACAGGAGGGCTAGAAACTTTATTTTAAGTGAAAGCTTTGATTCTGAATGTCCTGCAGACCACAATAAACGTCATGTGGGCTGGATCTAGTCCGTAGGCACTGATCGTTGGGTTTTTTTTTTTTTTTTTCTTGGAAAGGCCAGTGTGGCAATCTATTTATGTAGTGGCATTTAAAACCTATTCAGTCAAGTGTTTCTTATTGTTTATGTATTTCTTTTCTATTCAGCTATCAGTAGCAGCTATAGGAATTAACATGTATAGAAGGTCAACAGTGGACATGTTACTGAAGAAGCAGCTGGAAGATCAAAACGCTTTCCCCAATTTTGAACCTTTGGCATACTGGCAAATACAATTCAACAACGTTGCTGCTGTCACTGTGTTTTTTGTCTGGATTAAGGTAAATCCTAATACTTCAGATTGGAATGAAGCTCTTTAACACACATACTAATGTAACTGCAAGAAATATCTTTGATTTGTTTCTGCACCTTGGAAACAACCAAATGCATTCCAGGCTTGCTCACGTTTCTGCTGAGGCTAACCATGGAAAATTTCAGACCAAAAGCATAGCTATGTGCAAGTGAAAACAGGGCTATAATCTTGAAACCTAATTTTAGAAAAAAGAATCAGTGAATATTGCTAATGCTAATAGTGCTCACAGTAAATTATATATATTCCTTGATCCAGTGACAAGTCACTAGCCCTAATTAGTTCCTGTTCTCTCCCAACCTGGTGGAGCTGTTGCCCTTTCATCAATCAACCCATATACAAAAGTCCTATAATGTTAAGACATGGATAGTTTCTAAAACACATGGATTCCATGACTGCTGTGTTGAGGCTACGTACTCATTAGTGTTAAATATGATACTTTTGCTTTCCTGGAGTCTTCCTTGTTACCTTTCACTTTGTTTTGTTTTCTTCCCTTTTTGTAGCTTTTTATGATTTAGTCAAAACTGACATTACATCAGCAGCAAAGACTTAAACTAAGGCAGCTGGTTTAAAACTGTTTTCTGTCAGACCATTTCTATGAAATGTTAGGATAAGAAGACTAGCTTCATTGAACCAGTTGCCATTTAATAACTAAGCTTTAAAATGGAGCAAGTTCATACCTCTGCTTGTGCTGTTTTAATTTCTCTAGGTAAAGGCTAGATAATATTGGCAGTTTTTAATGCTGAAACTATTTTCACAACTGACAGGCCTAGAAACTTTTTAAAAATGGGGATAGACTCTAATATTGACACCCTAGGGTTCCATGTTTAATGTGTTTCAGTGATTTTCACATCATGTGTGCTTGGTTTACAAGAAAAAAGAGGTCTTTCCTAACTCTCATCCCTGACAGCTTATCCTAGGATCTGAGAGTCATGCTGGGTTATTCCTTCCACACATAATTGCTAGTAATAAAGTTTATTTGGGCTGAATCAGGCCCTCAGGGTTGCACAGGTGTCACAATCAGCCCTCAGTGGGTTTGTTCATGTACAACTCACCAGAACTAAAGTTAACAGTTCTGCTGATGAATGAAAGAATAGAATCCAGCTGAGTCTTAGCAGGGCTGAGAGAAGTAAAAACTAGTAACAATTTAACTTGTATTACTTAAAATTAGTCGCTATAACTCTGAATATGCCAAGAGAGCTGATTTCTTGAGTAAGAAGGTGCTATATGTGTAGTCACTTTTCAGAATAGAACTGCACTTCAGATAACTAGATTTTAGAGCCGCGATTTCCAACCTGGAGGGCACAGGGATTTCTGAAGGATCATGTGGGGCTGCCACTCTATATGTTCCTAGCTTTCCTTTCCCACCAGTGGCACCGTATAGTGCCACTGCAACATTGCTTTCTATACCTCTGGTAACAGACAGAACTTCTACACGAGGCTGTAACAGAATGAAAGGGTTGGGAATCACTGTTTTTGGAGGACCCTATTTTGACAGATTTCCATTGCCCCTAGCTGTAGGACACTTCTATTACAGCTTCACCACCTTGCAGGAAGTCGGTTATAAAGTATATAAAAATTCCTCTGGCTCTCCTATGATCTCATTTTATGCTTCCAAAATATTCTAGTAATCTATTAATTTCTGGAAATGAAGTTGATAGTAACTCAGTGTATTTTGATGTGGAGGAGGGAACCTTGAGATATAAATGCATACTACATGGGACTATTTAAAGTGCTCTGGTAAATCCAAATCTTGGCATTTGAATGGCTCTCCCATGATAGTTTTTTCTGTCCATGTCCGTCTTTGCTTTCTGTCCTCTAGATGTAATGAGTTCTAGAGGGAAACTTTTTTGTTTAATGAACTGGTGAAGCTATCTAATGAATGGGCATTTTAGCATTAGATCAGTGGAGAAAGAATTCCCTCTGTATGCTTTAGGAAGTAACACAAATTCACTCTTAATCTACCAAGTGACTTGTGTATTCTACCACTATGATATAAAATATAAAACAAAGCATAACTATGTGCAGTTTTTACGCTCAAGAGATGGTGACTGTTAAGAAATAAAAATTGAAAATTCCTGACTCTTTCTTTGCGTTTAAATAGAAAACAAAAAACCCAACAAGCCTGTATGGAGGTTTCTTAAAAAGGCATGCTTCAATATTTGTCACCCTTCAAAATAGTTCTAATATTAGCAGCCCAACACTGCAATAAAACCAGCGTGCGCATATAGTGAAGCAGGATTGGAAATTTGGTTCGCCCTCATTGAATTTTCCTCTCATTTCTAGTACAGTATGAGTGCTTTGGTAGAAGGGATAGTTCTAAAAATAAAAGTAGATTGATTTTCTGTGTCTTCAATGTTAAGTGCTATCAGATTTGAATACACTTTGCACGTGAAAGGTTGGAAAGCTGCTCATTCATTAGTAGTTGTCTGTCATGTTTTTACATCTATTTCCTTTTTTTTAACAGCTCTTCAAATTTGTCAGCTTCAACAGAACAATGAACCAGTTATCCACCACCATGTCTCGCTGTGCCAAAGATGTCATTGGCTTTGCTATTATGTTTTTCATTATTTTCTTAGCATATGCTCAGCTGGCTTACCTTGTGTTTGGCACTCAAGTTGATGACTTCAGCACTTTCCAAGAGTGTGTGTAAGTATAATAATAAAAAACAGCTCTTCAGTACATCAGCAAATGACCTCAGCTACCTCATCGAAGACAGAAGGTTTTATTATAGCTCCCAGATAAATATAAAAATTCTATAGCGCTGACTGTTTTTGTAGGTATATGGGATTTCTAAAAACTTGTAGGTTAAACTTTCTAAAAACTGTTTCAATATACTTTTGTTGAAAAAAAGTCACTCTACAATACAAAATATGACAATTGCATATAATAAATTCAATCATTTTCCTAAGAACTGCAAGTATGTCCTGACAAAAATTATATTAAACATAAAGACTTCTACTTTTTTTTCTTAACATCTGAAGAGATGGGCAACTCTTTCAAATAGGTGGAAGTCATAGGGTTTTGAGAATTTATCACTGACCATTTGTTACTTTACGTTGCACTAGTGACATACATTTAGTTACTGAGTGATTGCATAGTACCCTAAAAACTGCAGAACATCCTGATAACTACATGTAACTAATAGTTAAACATTGCTTAATAGACAGTAATTATTCCAAGTTGTACAGCGTAATGGTGATTTTAAAATGTCTTATGTGTAAAGAGAGGTTGGATTTAGTTCAGTTAGGCTCTATTCAACTGTGAGGACATTAGTGATGGGATGAAAATTTAATTAGCACAGCAACTGACTATCATTCAAAAAATATAGTTCCCCTACCACGCTTCCTCTTCCCTCCATCCCACTCGATAATGAAAATGCTTAGCTCAAAATAGAGTGAAATGTCACAAATTGCTGCCAGAATTCAAAAATGTTTTAACAGCTGGACATGTTTTTGTTTTGTTTTTAAAGCTTTACTCAGTTCCGCATCATTTTGGGAGACTTTAACTTTACAGAGATTGAAGAAGCTAACAGAATTTTGGGACCAATTTATTTCACTACTTTTGTGTTCTTTATGTTCTTCATTCTTTTGGTATGTAAGCCTTTGTTTATGGAGGGGGGCAGGTGTCACACTTGAGTTTTCAGTTACTTTTATCTTTACATCTCTCACTCCTATTATTTTTGGGTGACAGTAAGCTTACAACACAACTGGGAACTTAACCTTCAACAGATGCCCATCTCTACACTTTCAAAATAAAGTTGCATTGCATCTCCCTGCCCCCTGCCACAGCCCTTCAAATGTTTTCCTGATTCAAGAATATTTTATTTCTTCTGAAATCTAACCAGTGACTTGCTATATAAGCTCTTCCCAAATAGATCAATAGCATTATGGTGAGGAATTACAATACTCCCCCCATACATACTGCATCTTTATTGATAAACAGTGCTCATGTTCAGGGGCTGGATGTTACTGTAATCTGAAGAAGGAATTGAAACGTTAGACTACCATTAAGTGAGTCTGTGCAGTACCCGTTATTACTGGACTGAATACGTATCACATTCTTTTAATGAATTCAGGGGTTGGGAGTGAAAGAGACACTCATCCCCCACAAATCATTTTTCATTGTTAAATGCAATATTCATGAGATCAGAACCGTTCACAACCTATTGAAAGTTGCTTTGACTTTGTGGTGCAATTGCTGGTAGTCTGACAGACAAATTTTTGCAAGATCGGAGCAATTTGCAGAGACATTGAAGGCATTAATTTTGATAGTGGTATGTCCATCATGAAAATAAGCTTGTCCAAAAGTCAGTGTCTTTCTAATCTCCTCCTCCAACTGCTGGGTGTGTCCAACAACACTATATATGTTAAAATATTTTAAAACATTTACGCAGCAGTGGTACGCTTTCTTGAATAAGATGTAGAGAAAAGATGGGACCTAACTTGTTTTGACTGGGGTGTTAATGATTTTAGAGCTAATTGGGGCTCCCTTGTAGCAACCTAGCCCCTAGAAGGAAAATCTACAAGGCTTTGTGGAGAGAGAGCAAAGGCAAACATTTTCATAGGACTTAGGAGCCAAAGTCACCTTGATTTTTTTCTTTCAGTGAAACTTAAGCTGCTAAATGCCAAAGTCACTTTTGAAAATGGGACTTAAGTGATTTAGGGACTTCAGTGGTTTTGAAAATTCTATTCCAGATTTAAAAAAAAACCCAATCTTTTAATATGAGTAGTAATTTTCCCTTGGCATGCTTCATCCACAGACCAATCACATTGGGTGATGAGAGCAATTTCAAAGCCACTCCCACTACCTTTATACACTTTTCCATTCATTAGATACTGTTATTAATGCTTTCAAATACCATCACTAAGGTTGCTATTTAGTCACGGAAGGCACGGATTCCGTGACTTCCAAAGCCCTCCATGACTTCAGCCAGCCTCAGCTGGGAGTTTCAGGGTCCCCTGCCACCAGCGGCAGAGGGGACCCCCGCCGCTCCTGGCCACCGTGGGCGGTGGGGGGATCTCTGTGGATGGCCACGGGGACCCCTAGAGCTCCCGGCTGCCACTGGTGGCGGGGGGGGACCCCCGGAGCTCCAAACTTCGGAGCCGCAAGCGGAGGGGGACCCTGGAACTCCCAGCCCACCCGCAACTGCCCAAGCTCCTCATTTTGTCATGGATATTTTTAGTAAAAGTCAGTGACAGGTCACAGGCTTCCGTGAATTTTTCATTATTGCCAGTGACCTGTCACTGACTTTTACTAAAAATATCCATGACAAAATCTTAGCCTTAACCATCACCCTAATGTTACCACCAATATGGTGTGGAAATTTCAGTTATTCCCAAACCTGGGGCTCCCACATGGTGATTTGGTATACTGCTGATAACCTATTATATAGGACAAGATTTTTCTGACATTGATTCTGTGGTTAATTAAGTACTATTGTCTGAAACAACCTTCGTTATTTCATGATGTCTCTTATCTAATATACTTTTTGGATGTTATATTGTTTGTGTGTGATAGGTGTTGAGTGCATCTATTCTGTTATAATTATTATGAGATTAAGAAATTTGTTAAAAATGTAACTGGCCTGAGGAAGAGTGAGCTAGCAAACAGAACATGGCACACTTGAACTTAGGAGGGACAGTAAGCAGGTTTGAAATCCATTGTGGAACATCTCAGAAAGTTAAACAAATGGAGGATGGTATTTTACAGGAGGAAAAAGCCCTTTTAATTAGATTAAGTAACAGCATCACTTATGGGTGTGGCCTACTTCTTTTGTTATGTTAAGTAGTAGCGTGAGCCTCCTACTCCATGGCTGCTATCTTGTTATAATGTTAAGGCCTGTCAGGGAATTTGCAGTACTACACCATATTTTGTGTGCTCATTACCATTTTCGGGTATTGTCATAAGGGTTGAATGGAATTGTGTTGAGAGCTCCTGTAGAGCAGTCACTGACATTGTGATACAAAGTTAGGAAAGATGTATCAAAAACAGCAGCATTTTTAAATCATGCACTTGTGAATTGAAGGAAAAATGAGCATAAGTCAAGGATGGGACTCCAGCCTTTCCTTTTAATTGTCCTGGCCTTTGGCTGTGGTGCAGTGATATATTGATGTACATTTTTAAAGGTTCCTTTGAGAGAAAAAAAATAATGAAAATATATGCTTTTTGCATGCGAACAGAACACTTATTGCAGAATAGTCCTAGTAATGCCTATCCTATAGACTTGTGCAAAGACACTTATTGGGCATAAATGTGCCTTATTGGTATTTTGATACATGTATTTACTCTCTTTGTAATGGCTTCTTTCAAGTAGTTAGTGTATGTCTGATGAATTAAATATTTGACACATGTAGCAATTTGAAATGGTTGACTTTTATTTTCTGATATCATTTATATAGCAATTAAAGTCTTATCAAACTTCATATTTGGGAAATATATACGTGCATAGTAGCGGATGGCTTTTTATACCTGCTCTATACTAAAAATATAACTGCATTTGTAATCAGGTGGTTAAGTTGTCATCCGACCTGGTTAAAACAGAACAGTTGTGTCCACACACAAGCTTTTACCATAATACAGCTATGTTTGTAGTGCATATATGTCATGCGGTCTAAATTCGTGTATAACTGCCTTCTGGGAAAATCTGGGCAGCTGTTGGAAACCATCTCAGCAGGGGATAGTTGGGACAGGAGAGCATATAACACAGAAGAGACCTAGCATCTCATGGGACATTACCCTCTGAGATGTCTTACCACAGCAAAGAATGGTCAAGTAAGTGACATGGGCAGGATTGGGGTCCCATCATCAGTACAACGAAAGTGTGTCAAACTGTAACAGGAAGATATCTGAGTGCCTAGATAGACTGCTGGCAAGGTAGAATGCTATTAACTGCCACAAGTATTGGAATAATAATTAGTAATAATCAATTAACCATTTACCGATTACATTCTCAGTTAAATATTGTTGTGGGTGAAGAACCTTGCAGTTCAATAGCTTGGCTGTTCAATATTACTTTCTAATTAAGGTCACTCCTCCCTTTATTAAAAAAAAAAGTGCATCCATAGACTGGACTTTGTGGAGTACTTGTGAGATTGCTATAACTATGGCATAGTAGTGGTAATGGTCAGGTATGCTGTTAAACTCTAGAATTGTATTTTTTAACCTGAATTTTTAAATTTATTTTTTAAACAGAACATGTTTTTGGCCATTATCAATGATACTTATTCAGAGGTCAAATCAGATATGGCCCAGCAGAAAGTGGAAATGGAACTGTCCGATCTTATCAAAAAGGTAAAAAAGTTTTGTTACAAATACTGACATTGTATTGGCCAGATTCCAGACTCCTTTCTGCCTGGCTTACTGTATAAAATACTAAACTGCTGTATGGGCAACACTGAGTCAAACCAATCTACTGCTGAATAAAGCAAAAAACCCAATGGGCAGTAAAGGCAAGTCAGTCAGAATTAAGTACAAATTAAAATGAATTTTGTAACTTCATGTTGGTTTCTAGTAACCTGAGACTTGGGACGTTGAATCCAATCTCCTTGAATGTGATATACCAGAGTAGCTGAATCGGCATTGATAAAGAGTTCTGATGTGGAACTGGATTAGACTAAACCTTTAAATCTGTCAGGGTTTAGTTTGCTTACTTTATTTTATTTTGAATTATTTTGAATTCTGACTTGCAGTATCTTTTACTGCACATACATGCAGGGTGTCACACATTCATATGTACAGTAAAAGCTGTTTTATTCTGCACTTCATCAATCGGAAAGCTCTATAAACCGGCATTTCTGATCTTCATTGAAATTGCAGTTTATTGTCCGGTTGGCATGGGGCTGGCAAGGGGTTAGGGTTGCTCCTAGGCTGAGTCGCGGCAGGCGGCTCTGCATGCTGCCTCTGCTCGCA